GTTGTCAAGCAAATAGTTTTCCTCAGGAGTTGCACAGTTTACGAAGTCAAACTCAATTACATTCAAAGAGCAAGCTCTTAAATCTGCATCCATTTTTAGATCCAGATGGTATCATTCGTGTGGGGGGGAGGTTGCGTAACGCGTCTATAGAGTATACACAAAAATATCCTATTGTTTTACCTAAGAAGCACCATTTGACTAAATTGATAATTAGAGACATACATTACAAAAATTTACACGCCGGACCACAAGCAATTCTGACAATAATGCGTAACAATTATTGGCCGATCTCAGGAAGGGATGCAATTCGTCGTGTCTTAAGAAGTTGCGTAGTATGCTTTCGTATAAAACCTGTGAGTACAAAGCAATTAATGGGTGATTTGCCGGCTGTGAGGGTAACGCAAGCGAGAGCGTTTCTACATACTGGACTAGATTATGCGGGTCCGTTTTCAATAAAGATATCGCGCAATAAAACGAGCAAATGCTATTTAGCGATTTTTGTCTGTTTAGCCACTAAAGCGGTACATTTTGAGTTGGTGCTGGATTTAAAGGCAACATCATTTCTCAATGCAATGAAAAGATTTATCGCTAGAAGGGGTAAATGTGCCACTCTATACTCGGATAATGGTACCACGTTTGTGGGAGCAAATAATCAGCTGTTAGAATTGAAGGAGTGTTTAGCACAACAAGCAGTTCAAAATCAGATAAAAAACTATTGTACTGAACAATTTATTGACTGGAAATTTATTCCTCCATATTCTCCTCATATGGGAGGAATATGGGAAGCAGCCGTTAAGTCAGCAAAAACTCATATGCGTAAGATTATAGGTACGACAGCGTTAAGTTTCGAAGAATTATATACAGTATTAACACAAATCGAAGCGGTTTTAAATTCGCGACCGCTCACGCAGTTAGCTAATGATCCAACAGATTTACAACCATTAACTCCGGGACATTTTCTCATAGGAGAACCTATGAATGCTATTCCGGAACCAGATATTAGCGAAGTACCTATGAATCGGTTAACGCGTTATCAATTGCTGGAACAGATGCGGCAATATTTTTGGTCCAGGTGGTCAAAGGAATATGTAATCCAATTACAACAAAGATATAAATGGAAATATTCGGAGTTTATTAACATATGTCCAGGAGCTATGGTTCTTTTGAGAAATGAGAATACATCTTCAATGGTATGGCCGTTAGGACGTATTGTGGAATTACACCCCGGACCGGACGGGATTACTAGAGTAGTGACAGTGCGAACTAGTCAGGGTTTATGTAAGCGAGCTATAACCAAGATATGTTTATTACCCATCGACGATAAAAACGCTGTAATTGCAGAATAATGTTGTATGAATGTACGTCTGTCTCAAGTATGCCGTTTATGTGTTTACATCTTTTAGTTTCGAGTATTACGTTTTATAACTCTAAGTTTTAATCAAATTATAACAGCTTTCCTGTATTTATTTGTGTTGAAAAGATTAAGCTTTCCAAGGGAGGCAGGATGTTAAGTCATACATGGCGCTTCATACGCCATGATCTATCGATCTCATATCGATAATCTCGATCTTACGACTCCATATTTTATTTTAGCCAGTTGGCAGTATGTAGACGAAATAAAGACACTTCCTGTTTGTGAACACGAGAGAAGAGATCTGTGTGTGAAAATATAATTATTAA